GACAGCATGACCATCACTAGATTACATTTTCACTTGCTGCTTAATGGATAGCGTGGTCACCACTGAGCCACATAAAAGATTGCAGGGAGTATATAACTTTTAAATATTCAAAAATATTACATATATAACTTTTAAGTACACAACTTTATTTACAACTTATACAAGTAAATTTTTTAATTAAAAAAATCAATTATAGTGCTAATTATCACATTAAATTGTATAGTTAATGCATGCAACTTTTTCATTTAGTATTTATATTATGCATTTTTTTTATTTATTATCAAGTATTTTGGAAACAATTTTCACACACTTTGAAGTTATTTTTTTTAAAGTAATCTTAAAAATATTTCCATATATTAACTTGATATATTTAAAAAATATATAAAATGATATTTATTTATTAATAAATATAATTCTTTACTTATTTATTAGTGGATGTAACCTTCCACTGATTTATAGGCAAATATAACCCTTCAGCTTGTATGACAAGATGGTTGTGATACATGCTTATGATTGGGATTCAACCTCTCTTATTTTCACTTTTAACTCAAGAATCCATGTTTGAAGTTGAACTCCATGGGTCACATTGCCTAATAATAATAATAATAATAATAATAATAATAATAATAAAGAACTTCTTGAGCTAGAAAATTTTATAGAGGAAAAATTTTGCTTCTTCATAATAATTTCTTTTTCTTTTTCTTTTTCTTTTTCTTTTTCTTTTTCTTTTTTTAACAAAAAAGTATTGCATGTCCGAGATCCGCTCATGAAACAAACCTGTGACACAGATGTATGATGTGGGGAACACGTTTTATTAAGATAACGATGTGATTTTAGGCAAGAGAGATCTCAGGAATGAATGCATAAATGACGCCTAAAATAATGCTTCATAGTCTGTCTCCAATTAATAATCAAAATCCCAAACCCTTTTGCAGACAAAAGGACATTGCAAATGATATTTGCTACCACATGAGAAAAACAAGCAGGAACAAAGATTTAAGACTTGAAGAAAAGAATTAAATCTTTATTACAAAAACAAATCACCAAGCTCGAATCATATTCAATCTGCATGAACATCGGGTTTGTCATGTAATGATTCTATACAACATTCTAAAAATACATGCGCTTGCAAACGGTACAGGCTTCGACTAACCAGTGTACGAGCAAAATTTTTGAATGACAGATCATCTTTACTTGACATACTATGAGCTATAACATGGGTTTCATATATCGAAAATGCCGTAAAAGGATTGCTTATGAGGTGTTACCCATTGAAGAACTCAATATTTGAATCTGTCAATAAATGAAACTAGCTATTAGCACAGGTCATAAAACAAAAACTTATGGGAGGGGAACAACAAGGACGGAATCAGGCGAACAAAATACCTTATTCACAAGCAAGTTCACTTGCTCTCTGTACATTTCCTTCAAGTCTACAATATCGTTACGAAGTTCCTCCAGCTGAATAGATTCAACCAGTTATAGATCAGGCCATAACGGATAATAAAATTTGATTATTATGAATCTAAATAAACTCCAAGGTGAAAAGAGAAAAAGGATAGTTTCTGCTTTTCAGCACTTCTACAGATGATTGGTTTTCATGATCTAATAAGTGATGAAGCATGCATCATTTTCTTTATAGGCATTTGACCAAATAGAAAAAAAAAAAAAAAAAAAAACAATCTTAACAGTCATGCTTCATAAATCCTTAGAATAAAATTTTGTTTGCCAAAACTATGAGAGAAGCAAAAATAGAAATAGACGTACCTCCTCATCACGTTCACCCATTAGCTCCAGAGCAGCAGAGTGCCTCCGTCTCAGTGCTTCTAGCTCTGCCTGGATGCCAGGCAACGGGGCAGCTTCAGTCTTCAACTTTTCACACTGTAAACATGAACCAAAGATTTCAAGTTGATTAATTTGCAGAATACAGGAGAATATTAATAGATAGAGATTCACCAACATGTTCACCAATAGATGCAGTGGCAAAACCCACCTGTGCTGTCATTTTAACTAACTCTTCAGCAAGGGAATCACGGATAGATTCCATTGATGCCTGATGCAAACCAAAAAACAGAGGTAGGTGTTTAAAGTTAAGATAAACTCAAAAGAATTATAAATGTGAAAGCACCAGAAACCCCCAAAACAAATATACTGATGAAATTTGAAAACTCAGGTCAGGAATGCTGAGTACAGCACACTCTTTTGAAACATTTTGGGGACTGTATTTTAAGAAACAAGAGCTCAAACTGTGTCAGTACCAAACGTGACATGTATGATGCAAGTTCACCCTCCTTTTGACGAAGGGCAGCTTCAAAAGCACTAGGTGTCATGTTCTTCATGAAAAATGGGCTTATAGTTGCTTCTCCAGTATGTCTCCTTTCAGATAAACTATCAGATGAGTCTAAAGATGCTTGCAGAAAATAGCTTTCCTCCATACTTCCTAAGCTGCTAGCATTTGAGAGCTTCCGGGACAAGTTTCCTGCATCATTATCGCAAAATAAGCAACAATTGCAAAGATTAACTCATGCATAAGTATAAAAAGCAAAACATCGTACCATTTTCAAAAGCAGAGTTATGCCTTGCTAGGGGAGCTTGGTCAGATACAGCAGTAGAATGCACACGAGATGTCCTTTCCAAATCCAACCGAGCAGTCTTCTCCCTTTCTAATTCCTGCCAAAAAAAATAATTCAGCAACCACAAATATAAAATTAATACACAGACTAACAGTATAAGAGGGAAGAGGGTTCCAATTTAAATCTGCACTCACTTGATTCTAGAAGGGCTTTAAATTCAAATATGAACTAAATGTAACAGCATATAGTTTCTCAAATTTACATCGAAATAGCCCTCTTTCCTATCATTAAATTTGGAAATAAAACTCAAGGAAAGAGCTAAACTAGAAACAGCTAGGGAGGTTTTATTCATCTTGGAATATTAAAACACAATACAGTTTAGTATTTAATAGAGTAGAGTGCTGTCAAAAATATTGTGGGGCTTGAAAACCAACATGGTATCTTCATTACAAAGAAAACAACCCTGCATAACAGAAATAAAGTAAATGAAAATTTCCCACTTGATCAAGCATGCAAGCAATGCAATCAACACTGAGACGCTTACAAATTAACTCCGAATCTAAAGGACAACCTGCTCTAGAAGTTCTCTGCGCATTAGAGCATCTTGCAACTCTTGCTTGTGTTTCCGTCTTAGTTCCTTAGTTTCTTCTTCAAGCTGGTGCACGCGACCTTCTAGAGTATCAGCCTCCTCCTTCACTGCAAGGTACTCCTGCCTATTTTCAGCTGCTCTTTGTCTTTCCTTCTCAAGTGATCTGCTTATCTGTGTTTGCTCTGCTCTAAGACATGAAATCTGAATCAAATAAGAAGTGTCAGCAAATAAGCAAGAAAAGTTTTCACAAATAAAACAAAATCACTAGTACAAAGCAGGACCTGAGCTTCAAGAACATTAATTCGAGATAATGTCTGAGATAAGCGTTCATTTACAGATCTTTCCTTTTCTTCAGCAGCTGCAGCTTTGGCCTCTGCTTCCTGTAGATTCAATGTAGTAAAGTTTAGAGAGAGGAAAAAACTACGGCATTTGAAAGATAAATCAATTCTCGTTATGACATAACAACTAGCAGTAACGTTGTAGGCACCTGAAGTCGAGAGTTTAAGGATCTTTCCACAGCAGCCCAAGCTTCAGCTCTTCTAGCATTTGTTTCCTATCAACAACATGGTAAAGAGATGTTTAAAAAAAACACGTCACAGAAACTAAATAGACAGACCGCAACTTAAAATATCTTTCTGAAAGAACCAGAGAAAACCATAATCAACCTACCTGCATAGCCTCAATCTGCCTTAACAGAGGCCTTGTAGATTCAGGAACTTGTGTAATCAATTCCTCACAACGACGCTCACTTGCCTATACAACCAGATAAGAGCTAAATCACTAAAGACAAATTATCAAAAGAAGAAAAAAGAAACAAAATGAAAAAAAGGAGAGAAGCCAAGCTAAGTTAGTTCAAAAACTATCAAGAGCTATTAAACTCACTTGATAGCGTTTTTGTAGATCTTCAAATTCCTTGTGAAGCATATCCTCTCTAAAGACTGCCTACAGATCAGAGATCACTAATAAAATAAATCAAATCATATAAAGGCAGTTAAGAGCTGATCTGCAAAAAAAAAAAAGAAAAAAAGACAAAAAGAAAAAAAAGAAAAAAAAAAACCTGTTGCTCCTTTCTGGTTAATGTTTGCCTTAATTCTTCAAGTGTCTGAACTAGCATAGCTTCACGTTCTTCAGCTTCTCTTAGACGACTCTCTAATTCAGTTCTTGCTTCATTGTTGGCACGTGCCTCTGCTAAAGCTTCAGCCTCCTTGGCTGCATTCAAAGCATTTGTGTAGAACTCTTTCTGAGCAGCAAGTTCTGCTTGGTGTTTTTCTATTGTTTCTTGCAGCAGCTTCTCCGTAGCTGTCTTGTCCTTTTTGATACTCTCTACTTTGTTCTCTTCAACCTGGAAATAAAATAAAAAGAGCAAGCAAAATCAACCAAATGGTAGTTCAGATAATGCCTTACAAGAAAATGGTAATCTTGGACAAAGTTCATTTGCATATAATTGAATTCTTATTTCTTTTAGCCAGTTCAAATGAATCATTGAATGAACAAACACATGCTAAAGAGGAACACTGTAGAGTGTAGACAATATGCAAAAAAAAACAAAGAAAACATCACTATAGTCAACTCAAGGTATTTCACCTCTTTCCAAGTTCCATGCAAATACTTTAACTTCTAATTATCATAATCTTTGACACAAGGGAAGCAAAAGCTAAAGAACATCACATGTAGGGACGTGGTGTTTCACAACTAGAAGGAATCAAACCAAATACTTGAGAGTGAGAGAGAAAGTATAGTAGTAACACTGCAGACAAATCCAAGATTTGCATGAGGCAGATAATTCAAGAGGTGTCAATGATATATACATTTGATTTAATGCCATCCTCAATTCAATTATGATTGAAGAGAGTGAGAAGAACTGACCAACTACATTGCAATTACCTGAAGCTTTGTACTCAGACCTTTCTTCTCTTCTTCGAGCTCTCTAATCTAGTCTCACAAAAATTCAGGGCAAAGAGATTATTTAGTGAAATGATCACTGCTGAAAAATGAATTGATCACAGAACTCATCTAAATACCTGAGCCCTTAATTTCCTAATTTGAGATTCTTGAGCCGCCTGCTTTTTTGAAAGCTCTTCACCTGGGAGGAAAGATAAAACATCTTGAAACAAGAGCATAACAATAAACAAGGACCTGTATAATCTGCTAATTGCAGACTTTTTATTTCCATGCAAAAGCAACAGAACACTAGAAAGATGCATTAGAAGTAATAAACACTTCAAATAAAACAAAAAAGAAATAGGATGGCAAACAGCATCTTAAACATAACATTATACACCAGCAGACATACTGCATAATGTCAGTTCAGAAACTAGTCAAAACTAGTGAATTCTTGTACCACAATTTAAATAAAATAGGAATTGGAAGCAAACAAAGTAGTCTTGTCACTTTTGTAATCTTAAATTACAAAGTTCATAGCCCAATTAAAATTACAGATCAACTCAAAGAAAAGGAAGAGAGAGAGAAACTCTTCATTCTTCAGAATCTTCCATAAAATTGAAACCTCAGTTGGAAGTACACTTACAAAAGTCAAAACTTCCCAAATAACAATTCAATTTAAATTAAAACTATAAAACAGAATATCACAATTTTCCATTCCGAACACACTCTTTCTTGCAGCAGCCCACCCATATAGGGAATAAGAAAACTAATGTCAGAACTCAGAAACAGATGCCATCGTGTCCAATTATCAAAGATAATTGCATTTGGTCATTAAGGTTAAGTGGCTTTCAAGCAGAAAGGAAAGTCACGGATCAGATGTTAGTATGAGTTAAAATATCTTGTGAAGTTCAGAAAAATAATTGAATTATAATTCATCTCTGCAAGGTACTTGTTAAACTTATTCTAAGAAAACAACCAATTTTTAAACAACTAAACTAACAAAACCAACAGCCTGAGGGTTACCAATTGAACAAAATCTCAGCCTACAACTATCAAAAAGGTATTGAAAAAATGAAGACGTACCTAAGAATCCTCACTTTACATCAAATTCCCCTAGTGCACTCCCTTTTCATTGAATTCTCTTAAAGCAATAAACTCCTTTAGGAAATAGGAATAAGCTAAATTATATGGGTCAGTGGGGATGGGGATAGTTTCGGGTACAACTTGTAGCAACCTAAATGGAACAATTTCCTCCAATCAGTAATGCCACAAAAGGCTAGCACAGCATCTGCAAGGCTAGAAACTTCAGAAATAACCTACGACTCTTATCCAACAAGCAAATGTAGAGCTAATTGCAGACAACAAAAGCATCCAAGAAAATAATGATGAGCTTGTAGCTTAGAACTAAACATAGAGCAAATTGTAGACAACAAAAGCAGCATCCAGGAAAGTGACGATAAGCTTGTAGCTTTGAATTAGAGTTATAGCTCCTCAGCTGCTATTCACCAGAGATCAACTTTCACCTGATTAGAACTCTCCCTCAAAATAAGCAGCATATTTCTTGGCCCAGAAACTTACAGAATTAAGCTACTAGAGAACCATATTTGCAGAAATGTTTAACTAAATTGCTAACGCCTGCAACAACCAAACCAAAGGTTCCTCAACCCCCTTAGTTGTCAACTTAGAACTTAGCTGTTGAGGAATAAAGATACTGAAAATGACTCATCACCAGTTACCTAAACACCCTGATGTCATAAAAACAACAGCTTCAAACTAGAAGAATCAAATATGCTTCATTGACTGAAAGTGATCAATGAAATCATATGGCAATCTTTTAACTAGAACAATGAACCTCAGAAAGAGGTAGGTACTATCCATATTATTCGCAGGATAAACCTCCCAAAAATGTCAAGAAAATGCAGTTTTCACAGAAGAAGAACTAACATGAGGAAGAAGCAAACAACAAATGGGAAAACATAAACCTGTAATGGAGTTTTTTACATCAAATGCATATGGAGTTTTTACAGCTCTACCTTCAGCCATAATTTGAGTAATTATTTCATCTTTTTCCTTCAAAAGAGCAGCTGCATCACTTTTTCTGTTCTGCTCTCTACGAAGTGTATCCCTTTCTTTAGTAAGAGCATAAACCTGTAATGGGACTCCCAGATTCAATAAAATGTTATTAGAAGGAACATAAGCCAGAAAACATACAACCTGATTGACACAAAAAGAATTACTTTATAAAAATTCATTCTCTTCTGGGAGACCAATTTTAGATTTATTTTATTTAGAACTATTAAATCCCATTCTTCTTCAGTCCATCTCCAATACTAAGACGGACAAAAGAAAATTAAAATTCGTAAGTTTATTTTCTCAACAGAGAAATAAAGCTAGAAATTCCAAAAAACTTAATAATGAAAAGCTCGAAATACCAAAAAAGTTAATGTTGGACAAGGCTTATATACATGTTAATATTTTTCATGTCAAAACCTGTCTTTACTGTCATGGTTCAACTGAAGTGTAATACAAATAAGAAATTGACCAAAAAAAAAAAAAAAAAAAGGAAAGGAAGAAGGCTTTGGTGACATACCTTCCTTTCAAGAGTTGCAACCCTCTGATGGTACTCTTCTCGCAAAGATTCAATTTCTGCATCACTGGATTTTCTCTGTTCAAAAACTTTGAACAGTTAAATTGAAAGTATAATTGCTTTTTTTCATTGAGAAAAAAGGCCATGGGATAACTTTACGGTCAAAGAATTACAATCCCTAATTTGTTCAAGTAATAGGGATCATAATTTTAAGTTTGACTCAATTTCTTTTTCAACCAGCATTTCAATTTTCAGTACAAAAAGTCAGATTAAATATACACAAAATGCCAATAACCGGACAAACACAGGCAAGCCATAAGAAAACAAGAAGCTGTGTAATTGATATAGACAAAAGGACTAACAGGAGGTTTAAGCTCTTGCATTCATGGAACCAATAAAACTCAATATAATGAAAATGAATGATGGTACATAAACAAGTAAACACTGGCACGTTATACCTACTGCAACTACCATAGTCAAATATATAGGAAAATGCTCAATGCCATAAACATACCTTCAAATCCTCAATCACAGCTTGTAGTTGCTCATTTTCATTCATCAACTTTGCAATCTCATCAGCTTTGGCCTGAAAAAGAAAAACATTAAAGTTAGAATTTGAACAGAAAGAATTCAATAGAGAGATACAAGGATAGTATAACACGGAATATCCTGACAAAAATGCACAGCGGTGAAAAGAAAAGGAAAAAGAATGGAGGAACAAGAACATACGAAGGGGGCCAAGGGATTCAACCAAACAGAGAATGGTTCCTTTTTGACCCTTTTGAAGGTACAATTACTGGAATAAACTGAGATGTAAAAACTGTTTAAATGTAATAACAGTTACTCAAGTTGCAATGTCACATGACCAGAAACATGAGAGAAAGGAAGGGAATCTAAGCACCGCATCATACCTTTTTAACAGAGTCTTCTCCTATAGGAAGTACAAAACAAGGGAGATAGGATCTATGGTAAGATAATCTACCTTGAAGAGAACATAATATTAATCTTATGGAAAACCCAGAACTCAAATGCATGATAGAAACTTTATGAGTTTATGGAGCAAGATTTAACCTTCAAAAATAACTAATTACATGTATGCAATATATAAAGAAATCCATGGCTGATGATGACAGCGATCATGCATCATGTCTAGGTCACTGATGTACATGTCTACCATATAATACAACAGATCATATCAAATACCCAAGCAGAGCATGCCAAATACCTGAGCTTGCTTAGCAGCACCTTGCAATGCAGATTCCATCATTTTCATCTCCTTCTTCACTTTCTCCAATTCAAGCACAGAATCTGCCGTGCTAGACATATTGGTTCCAAGCCTCAAGCTTTGCTCTTCTTTATAGTAGCTCTTGTCATCCCTAATTTGCTTATCTACATCAACTCCTTTAACCTTCATGTCATTTTCACTAGAAATCGATTCAGAAACCATTCCTGGGGCCTCATCTGAAGGATGTGCAATAGGCAAAGAAACTTCATTAGAGCTGTCAGCCTCCTCAATGCTAGGAGAATGTGAACCAGAGAACTCAATCCTGTCTCTAGCTTGGCTATCATCTGATGCTTCAGATTGAATTGGTGAGCCTTTCTCCATGATTTCTTCTGCTTGTGTCTTCTGTTCACCCACACCTTCAGGTATATCAACAACATCATGCAACTCTGCTGGCACAACAGTTAAATTAGCATCCAACTCTGTGTCTCCTGACTTGATTTCCACTGACTCAGAATTTTCAGAAGGTTCCACATCAGAACTCTCTCTCTGTTGAGCATTGACGTGAGAGTCTGATGCATCAATGTTCTCAACAGCAGATTCAGCAGGCTCAACAGACACAGTTTCTGATTCAGCCTCAGTTTTTCCGGGGTCTGAAATGATAGTATCTGCTTTCTCTGTGGCCTCAGTTTTGCCAGGGTCTGAAATGATGGTATCTGCTTTCTCTGTGGCCTCAGTATGCTCATCATCTTTGTCATTCTTGAGTGCCTGTTTTTCTTCTTCATCAGTGGTTTGCCCAAGAGGCGAATGTATTATCTCATCAGTTTCAACCCCTTCTTTTTCCTCACCTGTTGGTGAATTCTTTGAAGATTCAGGTTTCCCTGATGAATCAACAGTACTACTTTCATCACTTTTTTGACCCATAAAAGCCATAACTGGATCAAATAGTGTTTTCCTGTCTGACGGCCACAATCCTGAAGCTGGCAGCAATATAGACAGAATCTCATAAGTACAATTAACCTAGAAACTGCATTATAAAGCTTATATACAACAACCAGTAATAGAAAATAGCGTTCCAGGTTGAAGCACTGAGACTGCATTCTGCCAAAGAAATATTCAAGGACCCAAAAAAAGGAAAGAGTGAAACATATTAAAAAAAAATTTCCATAAAGCCATTACCCTTTAGAAAAGTAGTACACAAGTCATCTTCCAGCAAGCTATCTAACACATTCAGCTATAAGTTAATAAGCATGATGGTTCTAAATGCTCAACGAACACTTTTAGCTGTCATTAGACAATATATGCTAACTTATTTTTATTTGGAGAGAGAATTACAGATAGGAAAAGCTACACTGTCATTAAGGCTTTCTTTCACTTTCCTTCTTTTTTCAAAAAATTTTTATAACAATTTTGTTCGAGACAAGGAATCTCACTACACACCCCAAAATAACTTAGCTGTATAGTTATTCACAGAGCTTTTGCATCAACATACCATTCCAATCCTACACCACACATTTCTCCTCTACAAATTCTTCAAAATAGAACAAAAATAATGAATCTCAAAATGGTATACTTTCATAAGTTTTTCCACTATTTTCAAGGTTCCAAGTGTTATATCCATATGGAAACAACAGTGTCCAGGTCAGGGGTTTGCTAGGGTAATGTCAAACAATTTAGCAAGATATGTAAGTGCAAGTGAAAATGTTAGCAATGTGAACAATGAATTACCTTCATTGCTGCTGGAATCAGACTTCTCTTCAAACCCAAGAGCACTATCAAAATTCTTCTCAATATTCTTCACACTCTCGCTGAGCTTGTTTACTGCCCCAGCTAGATCGGGGAAGCCCCCCAATGAAACCTTACTGCCAAACCAATCCATATTCTCACCATAAAAACCTCAACAACTCGATCCAAAACTCAAATCAGCCAACTCAAGAACACCCAAGTCCCTGCATTTACAATTGTAAATTAAAAACCCCAAAAAACAAAGTTGCACAAAATACCGGATCAAAATTCAATAATAATTCAGCAATTCAACTATGTATCTCAGAGAAACCAAAAGAAACAATTAAAAGGGGCAAGATCTAAACCATAACGGACATAAGGAACTCATCCATGAAACAGAAAGATTAAAAATTCAACCTTTGTTTGGTTGATGAGAAACAAGAGAAATGAAAGGGAAACAAGAAATCATTCGGGAACTATCATCATAATTATAACGGAATGTTATCCGGTAAAGTAAACAAATTGAAAAGGACAAGCGAACTAAGGAAGTAGTTACATTAGCTCCAAAAGGATTTTCATAATCAAAGATGATTCAAGATTGAATTACCGAAGTAGATTTCGATTTCCCTTCGTTTTCCCGAGAAACAAAAACAAATGGAGAAGAAGGTGAGGATGGAATCGAACCTGATGGAAATGCGTGTTGAACTCGAGATTCAAATCATGGCTGGATTTGTTTAGCTGTTAATCATGAAACTTGGGTTCGTAGAGTGAGGTTGCCTGGATCCAGGCAATTGAGATCGATCTGCTTCGCTCCGTAATTTCTTTTTCTTGAAAAGATTCGCAGGTGGAACGTCAGCGTTTCAGAAAGTTGGGAAATTATTGGTAACAAGTTTCTGAGATAAAATAATATTAGTTAGTGCATGTGTTTTTATCAGAAAGGTAAGTCGCAATTGCGCCGGTTCGTGCTACAGAACATTATTGTTTGTTTTTATTTTTTATTTTTTATTTTATTTTATAATTTGTTCACACGTATCAAATGTGACTCTAATCGATGCCAAAGGAAATTAATTTGTTTTTTTTTTTTTTGGTACATAAGAAACTAAAATATAGTTAAGTCTTGAGGAACGAGGTTACTATGCTAACACCATGGAGAATACTCCCAATACCCACTGGAGGAGTTGAGAAGAAGGTAGTGCCAGGAGTAAGATGCTGGCCAATAGAGGCCAAGAAATCTGCCGCTGAGTTCCCTTCCCGCAAGGTGTGTTGGACTGTACAAATTGTGAAGGAATTTAGTAAATGGAAGATATCCAATAACAGCACAGAAGTGAGGCCATCTCCTGGTTTCCTCGCTTGGATCATTTGCACCGCCAAAAGGGAGTCCATTTCAAGAACCAAGTGAGAAATTCCCAACTCATAAGCTAAATGAAGCCCAGAACGACAACCCCAAAGCTCAGCCATATGACTAGATTGTGGTCCAATGTTGATGGCAAAACCATACAACCATCGCCCCTCATGATCACGGAGAAGCCGACCTGCACTAGCCCTTCCTGTGGAATGATTCAATGCCCCATTCGTGTTCAATTTCAGAAATGGAAATGCAGGTGGGATCCATCGTACCCATCTAGGGGCACAAGTATGCACTAGGATGTTTGCTTCCAACACCATCCCTATTTCAATTGCCAGAGAGGAAGCCTGTCGGTAAAGAACATGGGGAGGGGTCCGTCTATTATAAAAAATGACCGCATTCATGCTCTTCCAAAACACCCAAATAGTAGATAGAAAAAGAGTGGACCAGTTGGGAAATGGAAAACCACCAGACAAGGTAGCTTGCGCATTTGTCCTTAACCATTCTTCAAAGTTCAGAGTGAAGAAATCGTTTGGTAGGGCGATCGCAGCCTCCCAAATCAAACGGGAGTGAGGACAATCTCTTAAGAGGTGCAATGAAGTCTCTGGCTCTTATTCGCATCTGGGACATGCTGGAGTTGCTGCAAAATGTCTTTCAAATCTCACAAGATTTGTGAGCACCCTACCTCGCTGAAGAAGCCAAACAAACACCTTTATTTTCTCTAGGCATTTTAACTTCCATATCCACTTCTAGCTCCTCTCTTGTTGAAGCAATTTGTCTTCTTGTTGTCGTAACAGATAAAAAGCAGACTTAATAGTAAATGTACCATCTTGCAAGCCATTCCAAAACACTCTATTTGTTTGCTGTCCATAGATTGGGATCGGTATTGCCAAAATCTCCTCAACAACGGTGCCAGGGAGGAGGTGCCTAAGTAAGGCCTCATTCCACTCATTTGAAGGGGTAATAGCATGGGAAACAGGAATATCCATAAGTGCTGGTAAGACTGGCGAGAGAGCCTCTTCATGCAAAGGCTTATCCCCCACCCAAATGTTTTGCCAAAATTTTGCCCGTTGTCCGTCACCAATTCTCCATCTCAAACCCAACTGTAAAACACTTCTACACCTCAGAAGGTTTTTCCATGTAACTGAAGCTGTTTGGACAATTGAGCAATTAATCAAGGAACCATTTTTCAGATATTTTGCTAGGAGAGCCTTAAACCAAGGCTTATTAGGATCAGAGATTAACTGCCATCCAAGCTTTGTGACCAAGGCCTGGTTGTTCTCCCTGGCGGATCGAAGATCCAGACCTCCAAGCTCCCGTGGCTGGCATACAGTTTCCCAATTAACCAAATGTGGTTTATTTGTAGCATCAGAGCCCCATAGAAACCTTCGATTCATGCTATCAATAGTTGTGCAAACACTTTTTGGTAGTAAGATTGATTGCATTGTGTATGTAGGGATTGCAGAGTTACAGATTGAACCAAGATTCTCCTCCCAACCATGCTTAACAAATTTTTCTTCCAGCTAGCCAATTTAATTTGGATCTTTTCTACAATATATTTGTAAGTAGAAGCCGAAGGTCGCCCATGGAGGATAGGAACTCCAAGATAGTTACCCAAGTCCTTGGATAATGGAATGCCACAAGCATTGCTCAAAGCCCTTGCAACATGACTCTGTATATTCGGCGAGAAATATAACTTGGACTTAATCAAATTTATTTCCAACCCTAATTCATTTGAGAATTCTGTTAAACAGTCCATGACAATCCCCACCTGTTGTTGAGAAGCTTCACAAAATAGCATAAGATCATCTGCAAATAATAGATGTGAAAGTGCAAGCCCCCCTTTGGATATCTTAAATGGTTTCCAAAGCTTGGAATGCACCTTACTTTGTATCTTATGAGATAACTTCTCCATGGCCATGATGAACAAATAAGGTGAAAGAGGATCACCTTGCCAGAGGCCTCTTTGTGGATTAAAAGATGGTAATTCTTCACCATTCCAGAGGATTGAAAGCTGTAGGGAGGTCACTGAAAACATGATCAACCGTATCAAAGGAGCTGGTATATTGAAGTCATGAAGCACATTTTGTAGGAAAGACCAATCAACACTATCAAAAGCTTTGTGAAGATCAATTTTGAATACCATGGCACCTTTTTTACCTCTCATCTTGCGCATGGAATGAACTGCTTCTTGGGTCAGAATTATGTTATCCGTAGTACTCCTTCCTACTAAGAAGCTATTCTGAAAAGGGCCTATGAGTTGTTGTAAGAAGGGTCGTAGCCTATTTACAAGCACTTTGGAAAGCACTTTATAGACAACATTTAGCAAGCAAATAGGACGGAATTTTTTAATAATGTCTGAATTACCTCCCTTTGGAATTAGAGCAATATGTGCCCTTATCAAAGATGGTTCAAAGACGGTTCAAAGACACCCTCTGTTAGAGCATTGTTGATGAAAGATAACAATGTACCTGAAACAACCTCTCAATGTTTTTGATAGAAGATTGGTTGGATGCCATTTGGCCCTGGACTCTTTAAACCCTTCATAGAGAATAAGGCACATCTTACTTCCTCCAATGATACAGGCAGCAAAAGAGACTCACCATCCCCATCTTCTAGTCACAGCTGATAGGCGGAGTAGTTTCCATTAGCAGGCCAAGTGTCCTTCCTAGTGAACAGTCCCACAAAGAAGTTGTTAATGTGCTCCTTTAAAACAAAAGGCTCTCTTGCCCAAGCATTGTCAATCTTCAGAGCCGAGATCCTATTCCTACTTCTTTGAACTACCGTGGAGGCATGGTAGAAAGCTGTGTTCCTATCACCAGAAGTGATCTACTTTATGCATGACTTCTAGCACCAAAATAACTCCTCCGCATGCAGAACTTGATGATATTCCCTCAATAACTCTACTTCTAGTTCTTTTAAAAACCTAGATGTGGGAAAATAAATAGAATTTTGAATACCCTCAAGTCTACCTCTTAGCTGCCTTTTCCTATGGAATAAATTTCCAACTCGGCTTTATTCCATTGCTGACAAGCATCCTGAACAGATTTAATGGTAGAGGCTATTGATGAATTTTGTGAACACCATGCACCAGAAAAAACCTATTTGAAAGCCTCATGTGTCAACCATGTAGCCTCAAAATGAATAGGTTTAAAGTTCCTGTCTCCCTAAATAGGAGTATCCAAGCAGAACAACACAAGATGATGATCACTGCATAGCCTCGAAAGATTGATCACTTTAGCATCCAGGAGCGTGTCAAGTGCCATGAGATTAAACAGAGCCTTGTCCAATCGTTCTCTCAATGGAACTCTACCATTTTGTTTGCGCAACCAGGTATACTTGCAGCCTAATGGTTCCATAGAATGTAAACCACAACTGGAGAGTCTATCTCTAAAGCGTTGTCTTCTCACAAAACCTCTTACTGCCTTTGGGGATGCTTCGTCCACCGTGAGTATATCATTGAAGTATCCCATTACCACCCAATTACCATGAATATGTTGAGCAATGCCATGAAGTTGATCCCAAAATAAGTCTTTCATAATTGAGTAAGGTTGAACATAAGCAAAAGTTATGAAGCAACTAACCTGCTAGTGAGATATAGAACAGTGAATGAGTTGGGATGAGCTATGCAAAATCTCCAAGTTCACAACCATAGGGCACAGTGGCAAAGCCAGGGGGGTGCGAGGGGGGGCGCTCACCCCCCTGAAATTTGAAAATCTGGCAAATTAATATATGAAAAATTATTTAGCCTCCCCTGAACTTTGAAAATTTTAGTATTTTGCCCCCTCTAAAAAAAATTTCTGCCTCCGCCCATGATAGGGCACCAGAATATCCAAAGGCCTCCTGCCCTTCCTTGTGATGGGACTTGGTAATCCTTGTCAAACCCAAATCTCGTTAGGAATTTAGGTGCTGTCAAAGTGGCATTTGTTTTGGTTTCCAAAAAACAAATAACATCTGGGCAATTCATCTTGATCAACTCTTTACATTCTCTTCGAAAGGGGCCATGTTGAACCCCCTTACTATTCCACGTTACAATCTTCATTGAGAAGGTGTAAAGGGAAAGGCAACTAAATCCTAGGTTGCCACCAAAGAAGATACTTGGCCAACTTGCAACAACGTAGGATTAACCCCCAAGTCTTGGGCTGGCTTTAACATCGGTAATGTATTATCCACTTGAAGCATTATTGTGGCAGGAGACTCCATAGGGAAGCATGCTAAAGAGTTTTGAATTGAAGGTAGCATCTTTGGTACAAAATCCATCTGCTGTATTGGTGTAAGGTATGTGAGGTAGCTTGATCAGCAGACATCGCAAGGGGTTTCCTATATGTGGCTTAATAGATGGCCTTAACAACTATGAATCCATTTGCTTCTTGAGCACTAGCGACAAGTCATATAGTTTTTGAGCAGCGGTTCTGGTTTCTCTAGGGATTGGCCCTAACGACTTAGTCTTCTTTTTTAAGGACTTTGATTTGGGCTGTGGTGGAATGAAAGGGAGGATAACCTGCTTATTGGCCTCTTTTTGGGTTTCAGCAATTTGAGGAAGAGTGATATCCATCTCGATGGTGATATCTTTTGAGTTTGCCATATTTTCCCCCTCAACCGCTGCTTTCTCTTTGTTTGCTACTATCAAATCAGTTTCTTCATCCATCAACTCCTCAATTATAGCAAAGCGATTCTGGTGCAAGAATTTTGCACCATGACCTCCATCAATAGCCACTAATTTTGCTGAGGACGCCGAGATAGATTGTGAAGGGGTCGAAACATTTGCTTATTGATAACCTCCGTTTTCCACCGGAGCTTGGTTGTGCTTCACTAGATTCCATCGCCTTGGCTTACGTTGTTGAACCATCCATGGGCCAAAACCATGTTATTCTCTGCCATTTCCTGCTTTAAAGATTGTGTAAGTTCAATCATAGCTTAGGCATTTGAATTCCCCATAGAGCTTGGCTTTTTTGGATTCTTATAGTGGCATGAGTTTTCTGTGTGGCCAAACTCTCCACAGTGAAAGCAGATCTTATGCAAACCTTCATACTCCACCAAACCATACTTTGAGGTAGCTCTTCCAGATCTAAATCAAGAGTTGATGGTAACTGTTGAGTGAGATCAACTTCCACACATACTCTTGCGAATTTCTCGCTTGTATCCAAGAGAGTTATACTGTTTACTTTGATTGGCTTGCCCAGTTTGTTAGCAAGGTACAAGACAATGGCTTCGTGAAAGCACATTGATGGCATTCCATGTAGCTTGACCCAAATTGCAATCTTCGGTGCTTTTGCTCTT